TCGCTGCGGGCTCAGCGACTCGGTTTATCTGGAAATATTCTACCTAGGAGTCAGCTAAGCACTGTAAGTGGTGACTAGTGTGGGCATCTTTGATTCTCAGACGCCAAAGGCTCGGCCTCTTGCCCTCTTCTTTTGCCCCTGTTACCCCTTCCCTTCAGAGTCTGTTCATTGATTAGAACTTCGGCTGCTCCCTGGAGGCTCGAAGCTCCTCAACCCCCCGTTTTCTGTGTCACAAAACCTGCCTCCCTGAAAGAGGTGGGGACCCTGCATTCTGCTCCTTGGAGACTGTGTTTTATTTCTTTCCCAAATACTTTTTGGATGAACGTGGGGTTAGGACGCTGGTTCTCAGCTGCGGCGATTTTGCCTCCTTGGAGACAATTAACAACATGTGGAGCATTTTCAACCTCAAGTGTCAGGGAGAGGTGTAATTGACATCTCTCCAGGTGATAGAGGGTAGAAGTGGTTAGACATCAGGCACGCTGCTGTTTTACAGTATACAGGACAGCTCCCCACAACAGAATTACCCGCCTTGAAATGTCAGTATTGCTGAAGTTGAGAAGCCCTGGGTTAGGAGAAGAAAACTGAGTTTTCTCTGACCTCCCGTTTCCAAAGCATCTAACCTAAGTAGCACGTGTCCTCATTTTACTGATTGGGAAACAGGTTCAAAGATGTTAGTAATTTGCCAAAGTCACATAGCTTGTAGCTCCCCTTCCTTGCCTTGTATCATAAATTTCATTTTATTGAAATTGTGGAGTATTTTATTTTTAATACTGTTCAAAGAATTAACATCCTATAGTCTGCCAGAAATTATATTTTCTGCTTATTTGTGAGACAAATTTCAGTTAACTCTCTTACTGGTTGATGCATTCTCACAATTTCACTATCTTGGTATCTATCCTTGTTTTTGTACGTATAATCCTTATACGTACAAATGAATGTGCAAGACACAAACAGAAATATACTGACATTAAGAAACATAGAGCCTTGTTTTCTTTAAGACTTCTGAGCCTGTGTTTACAATGAGTTCCTCCTGAGCAAAAGAATCCTGTTAAATTTTATAATTGAGTGAAGAGTGAAATCAGTTATAAAATTTATCACAGAACACAGGAGTTCTAAGAGGTACCCTAAAAGATCTGCATTTGAGATGTACCCTCCTTGTGCCATAGGAACCCAGTTCCCCCTTAACAGTCACATTCAGTCACTCTGGCCAGACAGTGACCCTCCCTTCTTTGCCTGTTGCAATGAGCAGCCCAAGGTGGCCAGGTGGCAATCTCAGCTTCAATTTTAATAGAATCATTGGTGTGTCCTCTAGTGATTTTTGTTTATTTTACACATTCTTTTTTTAAATAGCGGTATCATTGACATATAACATTGTATTTGTTTTAAGTGTATAGCATAATGATTTGATACATATATATTGGGAAATACCACAGTAAGTTTGGTTAACATCCACACCACAAATTGTTATGTATTTTTTTCTTGGGATGAGAACTTTTAGGATTTATCCTCCTCTCAGCAACTTTCAGATATACAGTACAGTGTTGTTAACTGTTGTCACCATATATCCCATTATATCCCCAGGACTTATGTGTCTTACAAGTGGAAGTTTGTACCTTTTGACTAGTTTCACTCTTTTAACTCCCCACCCCGTACTCTGGCAACCACCAGGTGTTCTCTGTATGTATGAATTAGTTTTTGTTTTGTTTGGATTCTACATATAAATGAGAAAATATAACATTTATCTTTCTCTGTGTGACTTATTTCACTTAGCATAATGCTTTCAAGGTGCATCTATGTTGTCACAAATGGCAAGATTTCCTTCTTTTTTGTTTTGCTGAATAATATTCCACTGTGTGTGTATGGCCGAAACTTCTTTGTCCAGTCTTCCATCAGTGGACACACAGGTTGTTTCCATGTCTTGGCTATTGTAAATAATGCTGCTGTTAACACAGCGGTTCATATATCTTTGATATATAAGATAGTGATTTTATTTTCTTCAGATAAATACCCAGAATGGAATCGCTGGATCACATGGTATTAATTTTTTGAGGAACTGCTGTTAATTTTTTGAGGAACCTCCATACTGTTTTCCATAGTGGCTGCACCGATTTACATTCTCACCAGTGGTGCACAGGGTTCCCTTTTCTCCAAATCCTTGCCAGCACTTGTTATCTATCTTTTTGATGATGCCATTTTAACAGGTGTGAGGTGATAGCTCATTGTAGTTTTGACTTGCATTTCCCTAGTGATTAGTGATGATTGAGCACCTTTTCCCGTACCTGTCGGCCTTAGGTGTGTCTACACTAGAAAATGTCTATTCAGCTCCTCTGCCCATTTTTTAATCAAATTAGTTTTTTAATTTTTCTTTGCTATTGAGTTGTATGAGTTCTTTATATATTTTGGATATTAACCCCTTGTCAGATATATGATTTGCAAATGTTTTCTCCCATGCAGTAGGTTGCCTTTTCATTTTGTTGATGGTTTCCTTTGCTGTACAGAGCTTCTGAGTTTGATGTAGTTTCACGTGTTTATTTTTGCTTTTGGTATCAAATCCAAAAAAACTGCTGAAACTGATGTCAGAGAGCTTACCTCCTGTTTTCTTCCAGGAGTTTTATGGTTTCAGGTTTTATGTTCAAGTATTTAAACCATTTTGAGTTGATTTTTGTCTATGGTGTAAGACAGGGGCTGCAACTATTAACATAAGCTAATAGGCCTCTTTCGTGGAAAGACTCAGCATTTCAGTCTGCTGCCTCCATGCTGGGCCCTGGAGGGATAACTGATTAAGAACTGTTTCTCTATCTGTTGCAGTCCTATGGTACCCTTGAATGTAAGACTCGCTGGCCACCGGAGCCAGGAGAGCAGGTGGCATCTTCTGGGCAGAAGCTGCAAAAACCAGGCATCAGACATGCACACGAGCTTCTTTCCGGGAAATACCAGTGACCTGGGGTGAGGAAGCCTGTCCCCCACACTTCTAAGGTAAGCAACTAGCTTCTTTGATGGAAAGACTGGGTGCATTTCAGTCTTTGCATTTCAGTCTCTGCCTCTTTGCTGGGCCCTGGGGGATTTGAATCCGCACAAGCCCTTTAGGAATGTTCTATTGCAAGCCCTGTGGGTTTTCGGAGCTAGGTGTTGTGGGGGTCCATTTCTCAGGTGGAAGTCTTAGAAGTTGTGGCTCTAGCTGTGGCCACACCCTTCACTCCTCTGGGAGAAGCGGTGAGTTTTTCGTTCCCTCCCTGTTGCAGGTCACTGCGTGGGGTGGGGGTGGGAGGGTGAGGTTCATGGTGAGATTGTGTCTTAACCTCTCCTACCCATTTCAGTGTGGGATTTTTCTTGTTCGTCTGATGTGTAAGAGTTGCTCAGCTAGTTTCTGGATCTCTTTCGAAGGAAATTGTTCTGTGTGTAGCTGTAGATTCGGTGTGTCTGTGAGAGGTGAGTTCAGGGTCCTCCTGTGTTGCTGTTTTGAACCAGAAAAACATTTTATGGATTCTTATACGAAATGTGGCATCGCCAACAATTCTTGATGGGACAGTGAATGCTGTTATGTGGGAAAACATGGATATCAGTGATTAAATTGAGAAATGATTCAGGAATGTTGGACTCAATGAGAAGTTTTAAGAATACTTTAACCAATTTATTTCATTCATATTTTTCTCCTAGTGTTTGCTTAAGAACTATCTATAACAATCCAGTTCTAGTTAAATATAAAGGGCTCTTTTACTAAGTATTAAAGTTCCAAGTGATAAGAAAATATATGTTACGGGTTTTAATTGGCCATACTTTTCTTTCTTAGTGGTATATAATAAACTAATGATGCATGTTACAGTAGGTGTATCTTAAGGTTTGGTGAAATATGGTACATGCCTTAAAATAATAATTCTCTAAACACATTCATAAATTATTTAATTTGATCCTCTTATGAATACTGTAAGATCAGGTGGGTGTTATTTCCATAAGGCATGTGAAACTCAGGTAATTTTCATTTTCTTATAGGTGAGATTGTGTTTTATTTTATTTTATACTTTTGAACTTAACCTACAAAAATGATTCAGTGATTTGTTTTCTGTAACATGAAACCACGAATTTAATGCATTTTAACTGCTGAGTAGAGTGTGTTCCATATGGCGCCTTTTTGAAACTGTGAGGTTATAAATGAAAGGTGAGAGGTGGGAGTTAAGCATAGGCAGTTTTATGTGTGGAGTTGGGGAATGCTCAGATATGACAGAAACTCCTGGAAAGGAAGCAGAAGATCAAGCCTAGGAGAAGCGTGGTGGTAGGGAGAACACCTCGTATCTGGTCAAAGTGCTGTTATGCTGCTTGGGATCATATTGTTGATGTAGATCTTCTTGTTGAATCCTTCAAAGGCGGCTCATTTTCTCCTAGATATTGTGTCTTCAAATTATATAACTGCCAATAGCTACTGCTTGGTAGTCAGGTTCTTGCTCATGCAAAAGAAACCCAATTCTGGAAAGATCATTATTTTACAGATCAGTGGGAAGGCTGGAGAGAACCAGGCTTAGAAAATAACGGAGAGTCTGTGTAGCCAGGAGCACAGCTAGCTGTCCAGAGTCTGGGACAGCTGGTACTTTGGCTTTTGTTTCCTCCTGTCAAGAGTCATGGTATTCAGTTCCCCAAATAGGGATTCAGATCCTAGGCAGCCAGAAAAATTACATGTATTCTGTATTGTTATGTATTATGACACGTGTATTTTGTTTAAATATGACTGGATAGAGCATTTAAAATACATGTTTAATAAAGCCATGTTTAGCTATAAGGAATTATTTTATTTTTACTGCTTTTCTTTTAAAGAGTGCTGTTAAGTAAGCTGGCCCTCCATATCGCTGGGTTCTGCGTCCATGGATTCAACCAACTGTAGATCAAAAATATTTTTAAAACAATTCCAGAAAGTTCCAAAAAGCAAAACTTGAACTTGCCACTCAGCAGCGACTATTTACATATTATTTGTATTGTATTAGGTATCTCGAGTAGTCAAGAAAAGATTTAAAATATATGGGGAGGATGTGTGTAGGTTACATGCAAATCATATGCCATTTTATATAACGGACTTGAGCATCTGCGGGTTTTGGTATCAAAAGGGATCCTGGAACTGAGGGACGACTGTGTATGGAAAACATGCAAACATCCCCAGAACTACCACATTCATGGCTGTGGACATGGCCATTTTATGAATTCCTTTCTTGCCAAAGTTAAAATTTATATCGACATTTTTCTCCCAGGAAATGAGTCCAATTTTATTATGGAATATGATTCACTTTTTTGCTGGAATTCACTTGTTAAACCAGGTATGCCTATAGATGGTAGAGGGCCATTTTTAGATATTTCTTAATTCCACCAAGCCCCGGTGGTCATTTAACTTCCATCTCTGAATTCATAGTCTTTAAGTAACTAATACGTAATTTATCTATTTGTTTATTGCTTACTGCATAGGTAATGAATGATTATTTTAGAATTTGCAACATTATAGAAACACAGAACAAAGAAGGATAAGAACCCTTACCCCTGTCCTTAGGGACGACTATTGTTAACAGCTTGGTAGCTCTTTCTCCAAACTGCCTGGGTTCTATGTCCATGACTAGAGGGGGGAATGTTAGGTAATTTAGACAGAAATGAGCACTGGGTGGGGGGTAGAGGAAGGGGAATGGAACAACCCAGACCACAAGGAAACCGCGCTGTCAATTAACCAGAGCGCAGGAAATCAATCAGTTAGTCAATCAGTTAATCAATCAATTAATCAATCACAAATCCAGGATATAAAAATAGGAGGAAGGAGAGAGCAGTGCCATTTTTCCTCTCCTGGATTGGCCTGCTCTCAATTCTCAAGAGTGTACTATCTTTTACTTTTTTTACTTCACTAATAGAAATCTTGCTTATATCACACTTTCTGTCTCTCGTCAAAAATCTTTTTTTTCGGATGACTAAGAACCGAGTTAATTCTTATTTCCCTTTTCCAGTAACTTTAAGCTTTTTCAAACAAATGTTTCAACAAAAACATCCAGCTTTTTCATTTAGTTGGCAGCCTTGGACAAGTTATTGAGCCTCATGCTGCCTCAGTTTCCTCTCTCAACAGTACTGGCTTACAGGGGTTTGTGAGGGTTTAACAAGATAATATGTGAAGTGTTCAGCATAGCTCCTGGCATGTAGTAAGTCACTCAGGGACCCAAGGTCCTGGAGATTCTGCCATGTCATGGTCACGCCGTGGAATACAAGGCTCCCTGAGTCACCACAGCAGTGAAAAGAAACTGTAAAACCACACAGGGACTTTTTATTGCCTCAGCCCGTAATTCACAGACTCCGCTTCCAATTACACTTTATTGGCCACAGCTAGTAACGAGAGCCCTGCCCAATGGCAAGTAAGCTGGGAGAGGTGGGGTGTGGGCTGAAGACTGGTGAGTGCTACTACCTCTGTCACAATCCACTCCCCACCCCAGCATGGTATAATATTATTCAAACTGTGTTGCTATTTTTCAGTTTTTTTTAATTTAATATATCATGGATGTCTCTCCATATCAGTACATATTCTTTCATTCATTGACTATTTTTTCCAGCCCTTCTGCATGGCAGGCATTGTTCTGGGTGGTGGGATCTACCACCGAAGAAAACATTTGATAATCCCTGCCTTCATATAGTTTAATGAATTAAAAACAGATAGGAAATTAAATATTTTAAACGTATAACATGTTAGAAAGTAGTAAATGTGACAATGAGAAATAAGGAAAACGTAGAGGGAGTTTGGGGAATATAGTTTTAAATAGAATGGTCATGAAAGGCCCCTGTGAGGTAGTTTGAGTTAAATTGTGGAAGGTATGAGGAAGTGAGGCTGTGAGTATTTCTAAAGGATGAGTGCCCCAAGGAAATAAAATGATCACTGTGGGTTTGGTGATGTGCACACAAAGATGCATTTTTCTGTTTTTGTGTATGTTTAAAATTTTCCATTGAAAAAATTAAAAACAAAATGTAGCCCTGGTTGTAAAACTGGCATCCAAATTTTATCTCTGCATTTTGGAAAACAAAAATTGTGATAGAAAATACAATAGATATTCTCAATTTTCTAAAAAAAAAAAAAATGATCAATTTACCTCCTCAGAAACTATGTTTTAAGTAGTTTATTTCTCTGCATCCCCACTAACCCAGGCTGCTACTGTACAGTTCAGCATTTGATTACATGTTGCTGTTTATCATCGCATAATCGTGTATGTTAGTCTTATTTTTCCAATTATTTACTAACCTGTTAATCATGTCTTACCTTTTGATCCACCTTTTTCTCTCCTTCCTTTAAAGTGATTAGACATATTGTAAATTCTCTATAAGCATTGTAGACTGAGAAATAAAACTTAGTGATGACTTTGACTTTATTAGATATATCAGTCCCTCGTCATTTTTACAGCATTTTGCTGTGTTGAGAATGTAAAAGAAAGAAAAAAGTAAACTGCGCAAAATATTATATCCACAAGCAATTTAAAAGTTTGGAGCATTAGAGAGCTGGCTCAAAAACCCTTTAGGTATTCTTTTTTAAGTAATAGGCCAGATATGAGGTACAGTTTTGAATAGAGACCTTTCTTAATCACATGGTTATCATGATTCTTCCACTAAAAATTTTGTTCTTTCAGTGATTCATTTTCTGTTGCCATAGAACTGGGCTACATGGAACAAACATTTTGAGTAAATTATGTCAGATTTTCCTTAAAATGACCAAGAGTCCCAACAATTAGATGATTATAATTGAAGCAAAAAAGAAAAAATCAGCCTGGTTCAGCCCAAAGAGTTTACTGGACTCTGTCCGACTTCTCTGGCTGGTTTGTGAGGCCACACCCAGACCCCCGTGAGGAGTGTCTCTGAGGGGTCACTCCCATAGAACCACCCCTGTTTAGGGAAAGTGGTGACAGGCTTGGTCAAGCAATGAGGAAGACTTGTCAAAGACAGATTTGTCAGTGTTAGTCACACAACTGGAACATAACATT